ATGTGAGTGTTGGGTAAATTATGCGAGTTTAAGTTAGTTTCTATAAATATAAATATGTGTGCAAACTTATTAACAAAAGATTTAGCGGATATTCATATCCAAAAAGTCAGAATTTTATTTGAAAACGCAAAAATATTGGTTTTGGAATCTGTCCCTGGATTGTCAGTATAGGAAAACACTCAGTGGTAATCACAAAAAAGCTAAACTTCGCCAACAAATTGTAGTCTCTTCGCCTAAATACATATATGTCCATATACATGCTCTTGTCTTTTACTCAGTATCTCTGACGGGCTTCGAATCAACATGCTGGGTTCTAGACATCTCAAATACCCAAGCCAACTCATGTCTCCAAAAACAAAAAACCGACCCTGCGTATGCAACGTCTTCATAGCACTGAACTTGCCGAAAGTTCTTAACACAGAGCGAAGGAATCCATATTACAGCCAGATTTTAAGAGTTGGAACATGAAGTATCGGTGAACCGAGAGTCGTTGCTAGAATTTCGCGGTCGAACTTCAAACTTAAGAACATTAAACATAAGTATGAACAGAACCTTTATCCGTTCCCGCATAATTTTCATATTACGCAGCACTTCTTCCTTCATCGGAGAGTACCGAGTTGATCTCATGTGGCAATGGCTGTTCGGTATTCACTTCCGATCAAGATAATGACAAGCCTTGTTCGAGGTACACTGCTATCTCTACGACTTGTTCAACAAGCACCAATGAATTCCACGCCCAGTTGTACAAGTAGAGCTCTATATACCCGGGTATCGCGCACTGATAACGGTTCGGTGCTTGTTCGTTGCTCAACTGCTAAATGAAATAAAAAAATACAAATTATAGAAAAAAGTTCTATGAGGAAAGTCAATATTTTCATTCAAAATGATCCATTAAAATGGAATTCCACGAATTCGAGTTCGCAAATTTTTGAGAAATAAGCAAAACACGAGTGAGCAACCACTCGTCGCTCGAATGCTGGTGGGGCTCGAAGATGTTCGTGCAAAAACTTGAGCTCTAGTACAAAAGACTATCGATATTACCTAAAAGTCATTCACAGAGTCTGTCAACACTTTCATCAACCCTTTCGCAGGGAATGACCTAGTCGGTATATAATTAGCACTCAAAGCACCTAAGCAGAGGAAGAGCTATTGCTGCCTTTGTGAGAAACGATAAAACGAGTAAAAATTGATCAACTAAGGTCCCAGTGCGACCAATATCAAAAAAAAAAAACTTAGGTGAGGTTGAGATGTGAGTTTAGGAATTTTTCCACGGTAAGGCATGTAGGACAGGCAATTAAAATACAAGAGTTCCCGCGAAGGCTTTATAACGGAACGACACAGGTTTTTATTCGGCGAAGTACTGTCAACACATAAAAACTACCTAGAAGCATATTTTTGCGGTAATATTTTTTGTATTATCTCCAGCAAATTTGTATGTGTATGGTTGTATATTCATACATACATGGCTGCATTTCCAACACTGTGTAGACTTTAGAAGTTACTATTCCCTTAAGCCGACGTGACTATTGTATATATGCATATATATTGATAACGCAGCTTCCTCTTCTGAGATCTACATATGTATAGAATGGCTATTGCCTGTAGCTGAAAATCGAAAGAAAATCTAAAACTGTAATACGATACTTACTTACTTACGTGAGGGTGTCAAAGCGCTCAACAACAACGCGCTTACAACTCTCGACAAGACAATACATACATACATACTCGTACGTGTATGTACATACATATATGTATTTCAGCCTAACCCCACACATATGGCCGGCTTTCGAGTGGTTGCTTGCTGTTTTTGTTATTATTTTTATTGTTGCTGCTGCTAACAAAGCCCATTTCACTATGTGTACCCCCTTATACCCATATGCATCAATATATGTAAGTGCAGTTGTATGTACGAGTATACCCGTTTGTGCAAATGAAAACGTCACTTTGGGTAAATGTGCTAAATTCTTTTTATTATTACTTATTCAAATTTAAATATTTATTTTACAAACATTTATGCATCTATTCATAGCATTTAGAGGGTTCTGTTAATTTTTGTTTTCTATCATTTTTTTCTTTATTATTTAATGTTTTGCTTAATTGTATTTTATTTTTTGCTACACTTTGTTACCAGACGTATGCATGTATGTATGTGTATTTTTCCGTATGTTTACATATGCATTAAGTTTTTTAAACATTTTTGCCTTTGCTTTTGTTTACTTAAAATATTTGCAAATGATTTTTTTTCTTTTTTACTCTTCTTTCTATTGTTGTTGTTTATTTGCCTACGTGACATACATTTTAATGCTGTTTTGATATTTTTTCAACATTTTACGCATACACAAACGCCACTCTGCGCTTTAATTTATTCATTAATATTTGTTTTCTATTTTCTAATTTTTTTTTTTTTTGCTATTTTGTTTTGCTACGTTTTTTGTGTGCTTTTAAAATTAAATTTCAAGTAAATTGTTTTAACTAAATTAATAATCAGAGCATGTAAATATCAGCAGTATTTTTAGAGATTCATTTACTTTTTACCAATATAATAGAATAAATTTATGTAAATATATATAATGTTTACAATAATTTTTTTGCAATTTATGTTTAGTTTTTTAAATCTTTCTTCGATATTTTTTGTTATTCGTTATATACACATAAGTTCTAAAATGTTGCCATCAGCCATAATTTAAGAGGAATATTTAATATTTATGCACATTTATATTCGAAGATAATTAAATGGAAAACGTAAAAATCATTAAATCAAACGAAATCACAAATAATAAATTGACATATTGATCAAAAGTTCAAAAGTGCTGAAAGGTCTTTAATTATACGCACTACAATTATAATATAAATAGACCCGATTGTGAATATGGAAAGCTTACCATCTTCTATACATGGGTAAACGTTAATTAAATTATTTAATTTCATTTAATTTAATTTATTAATTTAATTTATTAATTTAATTTATTAATTTAATTTAATAATTTAATTTATTAATTTAATTTATTAATTTAATTTATTAATTTAATTTAACTTTTTTTATCTTACTTTACTTTACTTTACTTTACTTTACTTTACTTTACTTTATTTTATTTTATTTTATTTTATTTTATTTTATTTTATTTTATTTTATTTTATTTTATTTTATTTTATTTTATTTTATTTATATTTAGTTGCTTGTTATATATGTACGTCTTTTAGACTTTTTCGTTAATTCAACGTAGCATCTATCCTATGCGTATGCAATTTTTTATCTCGCATTTCCAAGTGAATTTTGTAACTAATTTTTCTCACCGCACAACAATTTGCACATCAAACCAAAGCAAACAAATAATTAAAAGAGAATTGCAAATTAAATATTTGAAGCAAAAAAAAACAAACTTTCGAGCCAAATGCTTGATTGAAGTGGCCATGATGTGCCCGTCAATTGGTCAATCAAACAAAATATTCGGGCGGGTCGATTTAAAAACAATTACGCAATCAATACTTCAATGTCAGAGCATTGGCGGTAAATTAAAAAGTCTGTTGGGGACAAAATTAGCGCATTAATGTTTTCATTTCAGCATTATTTAGTAGAGATTGTGCGAATATATGTATATAATTATGTAGATGTAAACGAGTATGTTTATAAATGCTGTTATGTATACTATATACACGGGAATATCTGATTATATGTTCAAATATGCAAGTTTAATATTCTTGATTGAGTATTAAACTGGCTTGAAGGATATTGAGTTTTCAAATGAAAATCACTTACTTTGTATGCGCCTTTGGAAGTATGTATATTTGTATATTTGTATATATGTATGTTTGTATGTTTATTATTGTTCAGTATTGGTTCAGTGATGTTTTTAATAATATGAGTGCTTGCATATGTATATATTATTCATAAATATTTATTTGTGCCTTTTTTGTTATTATTATAATTGTTTTGTGCATGAATGTATTGGTGCCACTTTTATGTATATATACACGTATATTTTAACATCAATCACTTGCTTTTTAACGTCCATGTGCAACTACATTATTAAATTTCTTACTTTCTCGAGAATTTTTCAAAGATTTTTTTTTTTTTGGTTATTTACAGAAATTACGTTTTTATACACACATATATGTATTTATTTATATATAAAAAATTAAACCTATTGAAGCTGCGTTTGAACGAATTCAATATTCAAAAAAGGTTTTGAAAAATTATTTTCAACATATTTCGATTAAAAACCAAATCTTAACATATATAAAGCCATATATGTACATATACATATGTGTATTTTCTTAAATGATATTTAATAAATTAAAATAAATATTTGCATTTCATATGTTAAGCTGCTTAAAACTCTCAATTAAAACTTTTTCACACTTTAATACTAAATTACTATGTAAAATATTACACATGTTTTTAAACATTTATAGCCTACCAAGGACATCAACTAAACAAATTAAATATCTACACATGTATTGTATATAATTTTTAAATTATATATATATACACACACATAATACATATAATTCAATATGTACACAAATTGTTTTTTTTTTTTTTTGTTTTGAGTTAGGTACATTTATATTAAAGTTTTTTTTTTTGCTCTTCAATCACCCGCATGCCTAGCTGAATGCACACAATTAAATTTTCAAATATTCAAAACTTAATATTATAATTAAAAAGCAAATTTCCAATTTTCATTTGCTTGTTAAGAATATTTAAATTCTTTCACAGCAACTTATATTGTTTTTTTTTATTTAAACAAATATTTCTTAAACTTTTTAAAAAAAAAAATACTCTTTTTTAATTCCAAACAAATTATTATATTATTCTTTTCTTAAATTAATTTGCGCTCTTCTTCGCTTCCAAGAAATTTTATTTTCCATTTGTTCATAGATGTTTGTATTTTTGTCATTTACCTACCTCTTTTTATGTGCATAATTCACCATATGAATTCTCAGTTTTACGGCTAATAATTTTATTACTTAATTAATTAATTAGTTAATTACCATTTAGGTGCTATCTGTGTCATCATCGCTTTCATTCTTCCAACGCCAAAAGTATTTAATTTCGGAATCCACAATTTCGAAGAAAATTTCACAGCGATTAACTGTATCTTTAGTAAGAAAAGAAAAACGAAAAGAAAAAAAATATATTTTTTTTAGTTTTAATTGCCGCTATGATGGTTTCGTTTAGTTAAAATCACTAGAAATTAAAAAAAATAAAATATATAAAAATAAAAAATTATAAAAAAATATTTAAATCTGATGGAAAAATTAAAACAGAAATTTTTCTATATGGCCCTAATCATTATGAACAGAAACCTACAGGGAGAGATTTTATTATTTTGAAAATACGAAATGTCATTTATCCCAATTTACAATCGGTTTTATACTAGTTACTTACTAGTCCTTAGCGAGCTGAACCTTAAAATACTAGTATTTAACTAAATTGTTGCATACTTGCTTGGTATTCTCAGTCGAATATATGAGTGTATGTGGCGATTTATTTCAAAAAATTTTTGAAAGGATTAGGAAAAGTACTAGGCAGCAGTAGGGGTAATGATCTGCCGACTACCCCTGGCAAATCTCGTTTCAGCTGCGACAGCAGTGATAAGAGAAGTAATCCATCCTTATTGCGACGGTCGTTATGCTCATGGAGGGCTTTCCTAGAAGAAATAAAGGCTTCGCTCAAGCCCTTGGAAGAGGTGTGCCCAAGGTATTTCTCATTCTACACTTGGTGACACTAATCACATACCTGTAATGAGAATCGAAGCCATCCGCTGAATTTTATTAGTTTTCCTCCACCTGATGGCTAAGACAAGAGTGAAGATGCTGAACGGTATGGAAGACCATTTGTCGAAAGTGGCGGTAAAGTAATAGCCATAGTAATAGTAATATAATAGCATGAACCCAATTTCTATCTGGAATCTCAGCTGAATCGTAATAAAGTGACTGGTGATGAAAAGTGGATCACTTACAGCAAACGTCAAGCGAAAAGGGTCTTGGTCGAACGGACGTTAGTCGGCATAAACGCTCTCCAAAGCAGGATTAACAGCAGAGAAAGTTTGGTTGTGCGTTTGCTGGGATTTGGCATAGAATTATCCGCTACGAGCTGCTCCTCTACAGCGCGGTAGGTAGCTGCCACATTCAACGTTGCTGTGGTTATTGTAAGTGCGCCTGGATATAGCTAAACAAAATCTCGGTTAAATATTGCGCTCGTAGTCTTTGTTTTTCTTCACTTGATTTCGTTTCCTACGCATACCGGAAAGCTATTTGGTGTTTCTTTCCTTTCGACGTACTCTCTTTTGAACCATCTGCGGCTCACCTTATCTCAACGCTTGCGTGCTATATCCAACATGACTTATGACTGTCACGAGAAAACCTCCGTTACGTTGTTGCAGTTTCTCTTTCTGTACGTCTGCTTGGTTGGACTGTCGTTTCGCCTAACTACCCTGTGGGTGACGATGTGGGAGACTCTCACCATCTCCTCAAACCTTCTTAGGTCTCCCACTGTCTGCTTCGTTTCGTTGTACAGTTTGATTGATGATGGGATGACTGTACTCGGACTTACTGTGGTCTTGCAGTCCACCAATTCTTCTCCTGGCATGGTTGTGCATAAAATAGCCTTCTCTTTTCCACTGTCGATTCGTAGACTTATTGATTATACTGAGCATCTGAATTCCACTCTTGCCATCGCTAAGTAGTCTATCCCGATCACACTACTTCGTCGACCAGCTCTGGTAGATCAAGCGACTCATTCTTGTGCACTTTATCTTCCAGTTTCACTTCTGTTTCTACGGCTTTACTACTACCTACAGCCAAAGCCTTAATCCTGTACTGTCAATTCAACCGTCAGAGGAAATCAACGGCCCTGAAGTGCCTAGCTTTGGTCGACAGGAGGGGATTTTCGCTTCATCAGGACAACGCCAGATTGACGAATGATGAATGAAGACTAGCCAGAAACTTACAGAGCTTGGTTAGGAGGCTCTTATGCATTCACCTTACAGTCCAAGCCTAGCACCAAGTGATTACCAGCTAGGGACAAGGGTGAGTCCCACTTCCCTGTATGACCACTTCTCATATCCATTTAACGAGTCACAAAATTTCATAAAAATCGGTACAACCGTTTCGGAAGAGACACGAGAAGCGATATTAAAAATAACTGCAAATAAGGCATATGGTAACGCCACCATTGGTGTCCCTTTTATATTGAGAGAAACTATTTTTTTTCTCAACTACGAGTTATACTGGAAATTTCAATATAAAACAACACTTCAGACATCTCACCTATGGCATGATTAAATGATTTACAGATGCAGAAGCAGTTCATAAAACAACGCACAACCAAACCTGGAAGTAACTCTTTAAAACCTCCCTCTTTTGCACACCAGCGTTGGCTACACCACGCAATCTGGCCAAAATCAAAAACACGATAGAGAAGAAATTCCAATTATCTCAATCACTCTACGAATCAAAAACCATAAATAATCCTGCCCATTACCGCGCCACCACGACCTACCCGTGTGCGCCCCCTTCAACTCATCGCATGTCACCACAATTGATTGCGCGCGCTATTCCCATCGAAGGCAAACCAAACAAAAAATAAGCGAAAAGAAATAACAAGAAAATAAAACATAAACCATAAAATATCACATCAGCAAAACCAAAAGTGGAATGGCGAGAAGAAAAAAATAGTAAAGCAATAAACAATTCAATGCTTTGCTGCACTCACCTTAATCACTCGCCACGCTCGCTGTCGTCACGCCATATTTGACGTTAGTGCTGCTGCTGTTGCTGTTGCTGCTGTTATTATTGTTATTCTTGCTATTGTTATTGTTGTTGTTGTTGTTGGTAGATAGATTTTTTATGCTTGTGACATCAGTGACAATCGCAGTTGTCACACCAACAACATCATCACCAATGGATTTTGGCAACACTTTCGCTTTCACACTCTCATCCGCACCGTTTGTCGCTTTGCTGTTCGCCTGTTCCTCCTTTGCACGCTCAGCTACAGCTACGGCTACAGCTACAGCTCCAGTTGCAGCTGCAGCTGCACTAGCCGACGGCTCGCTGGATGTGATTGCAGCAGACGAGGATGGCGACGTCGTTTTGGCGCAGTCATTTGTATTATTTTGACTCCCGACGGCTGCTGCAGAGCTGCTGGTGGATGAACTTATTTGGGTAGAAGTATCTTCTGCTGCGTTCAACTTGGACGCATGTGCTTCGGCGGCGGCGGCGGCAGAGGCGCGCATATTCAAATTAGCAGCGACTTGATCGATGGTTGTCGGTTTCTTCATGGTGCGTGTCGAAGTTGTTATAGTGTTGGTAGTGGCGTTAAGCGCACTGTTACTGGCTGTTGCAGACGCCTGCAGTAGATTGCCAGGACTGAGAGGACTGGGCGTGGTGGCTGTGGTGGTTGTGCTGTGTAAGGGCAGAGCAACCAACGGTAATGTCTTTTGTGTGGGCGGGGATGTGCTAGAGGAGGTTGTAGGTACTGCAGCCAGCGTGGTGCTGCTGTTAGTGTTGGTGAGATTTGTAGCTGTCGCGCTGGCCGACACCATTGTTGAGCTCACAGCAGGCAAGGTCGACATATTGCGAAACGCCAAGGCTGATGGATTGGGTATGTTGCGTACGGAAGCGTTTTGTTGGCGTACCAATGAGGATTGCTGTAGCAATGGCTTCTCATAGGATTGGATTGATCGTATTGCGATTTTCTCACGCGTTGTTGCTGACTCGGAGAGCAAATGTAGATTTTGTAGATCTTCATTGTTCATTTGTGTAGGCTTAGCCAATTGTTGTTGCTTAGCAGCAGCAGCGGCGGCCGCGGCGGCGACAGCGGTGACAGTGTCTTGCACAGTTGTGGAAGTGATATTCTGCTTAATTTTATTTAAAGCTGCCTCCAGACACTCCCTAGCTGATGGCGTTGCTGACGCAGTTGCAGCCGTAGTGTCTGCCGCCTGCCCAACCGTGCTCTTCTCGCCGCCATCATTAACCAAATCGATGGTGTGCTCACGCATGGGTCTGAATTCGCGCAAACTGATGCGTGATTGCTGTGACTGCTTATCGCTAGCGCCGCCATTCAACGTGCTCAAAGACTCTGCTTTCCTAGCAGCATTATCGGCAATCGACAGAGAACCGGCTTTCTTTGCATTTGGGAATGTTGGAGCTTGCAGATTTACCAACGCCGGTGGCGATAAACGGTAAGGATTGCCCCTACCAAGCCCCAGAGTGGTGGCGCTCATTGCCATTGGCTGAGACTTTAACGCGTCGGCACATAACTGCTGTCCACCGGTCTTCTTACCCCTAACCATGGATAATGGCGGTCCCATCATACGTCCACTTTTCGAAGCATTCCCAGCAGCCTGTGCCTGCAGGTCGGCTGCCGTTTGGTTTGAGTTGATGCGCACAATCTCCACAGCTGGCTTATGGAAGGGCAGTTGCAGCGGCGTATACGGTGGCAGTTGCCAACGAGTTTGTGCCTGCGCCATGCCACCGGGTGGACGTGCTGTTATTGTTACTGCGCTATTATTATTGCCGTTGGAATTGACGCTTTGAGCATTGGTTACGCAGTCGTTAAACTTACTAAGGACGCAACTGTTGGATGTGGCTACAAAAGGCTTATTCGTATAGCTGCTGTAGAGTGTTTTACGTTGGGCTGCATCAAGCTTGGGCTGTTTGCCACGACCGCTAAGCGCATAGGATTCATCCAAAGAAGCCGAACGCTTAAGTTGCATACCGAGCTGTTTGCTGCTAGCACTAGCAATGGATGAAGGTGTATAAGCGCTTTTCGAACCGGGTGATGGACGACGTGGCAGATTAGGAACTATGAACTGTGCATGCGGCTTGGGTAGATTGAGGGAACTTTGTCTGTTGTACTGAGGCGCTGAAGTCGGCTTTGAAGCCGTCGCAACTGGTTGCTTAGCCTTCGGCAAATCGGTTTGCTTGCTTGCGCTGGTGTTAGTGGGCTTCGATTGGCCAGTTGTTGTGCTGGTAACGGTGAGTGTGTTAAAGTTTAGTGGCGTGGTCTTAAAGAGACTGGGCGGTAAAGGCGGTGATGCAGGTAATTTCACTTCCTTAATGTTGTTATAAGGTTTGGGCAGCAGGTGTGTGTGCGATAGTGTTAGTAAGGTCTCATCCGCCTTTACTACTTTGATGACCTCTTTGGTGCGCTCTTTTTCCATCATAAGATGATTTATGCTGCGCGATTCTTCGCCCAGTGTTCTATTTAATGCCAAAATATTATCATTTACCGACGTCGCTTGCTGGACTGAAGCAGCAGCGGATGACGGCTGCGATTTCGCATTGCTAACCGAAGTGTGTGATTTACGCGACTCATCGTTATTTTTCTTGGCTGTGGAGCTTTCCGACTTGTGCGATTTGTGATTATGCGGCGTCGTAAGCTTAACTTTCATTTTCAAGCTCTCCTCCTCTGGCCTACTTGAGATCTCCGCATGCATTCGACGACGCTTGCTATCCTTTGGCTCCTTGGAATCTTTTGAGTGCTTCTTTTTCCTTTTCTTGTGGAAAGTGGTTGTCGTGGCTAGCTCGGTGGTTGCGACCAATGGAAATGCGTTATTCGACGAACTGGTCGTGGAGGAAGCGGACGAGAGCGGCGAAGCATTCGGACTGTATTTGAGTTTATCACACAAATCCGCTGACTCTGGCGGCGTCAACACCTCTATGGGTAGTAGACCAATATTCTTGGCGTACGTCTCCAAATCCAAACGATCCGTTAACGGTGCAGCGACATCATCCAGTGAATGCTTACGCTGTTTGGTGCGCCCCCGTTTCTCTGATATATCTGTGCTCTGCAGTACGCCCGCCGATTTGGGCTTTGAAATGCTCAACCGCGACTTCAGACTATTCAATTCAATCTTAAGTTTTGGCACATTTTTAGCAACACTTTTCGCAGACTCCGACGCATTACTCACTGTTGTGCTAGCTGCGCTGGGTGGCGACTTCTTGCTGGCGGTTTTCAATTGCGCCAAAGAGACGTTCTCAAATTCATCATCGACCGAGTAGGGTGACTTCGGCATTTGTGATTGTGGTATGCTGACCAAAATATCACATTTGGACACCGTTGTTGCCATCTGCGCCGTTGTTGTTGCTGGTGGTGGTGTTGATTCCACAATGATCGCCACATCTGTCGAAGTTTTGGGTGAACGTTGTGCGCTCTTGGGTGAATTCTTCGGTGAATTACTATTACTTGTGGTGGACGAGACTGCATAGTCGCTGTAGCGCATATCATTGCTGCGTAGACTCTTGAAATCATTTGTAACGGTGTAGGTAACCTCGTCATGATTGTTGCGTTTCGGCGACGGCTTCTTGCCACTATCGGCGCTCGATTTTCGCGCGATAATCATTTTCACCGGCGCATTCATCTCTTCGGCCGGCAACTTGGCTTGTGTTTTATTTGAATTGACTTTACTCGGCTTTGCCATTTTACTTCTGTTCTTTATGGGTTTTAGCGATTCTGCGTGAGCGTTATAGCCCACAGAGGGCGGTGAGTTGGAGTTGGATGTATTGGAGAGTGTTGTAATATTTGTTTCATCATCACAAAGTCGTATGTCTTTGTCGTGGTGGATTTCCGCTGCTTTTACGGTGTCGACGCTAGAATTTCTCCTACATTCGACGTCGGATTTGTTGCCGTCATTTTCCAACTTCCGCGAGTCGTCAGCATAGAACAGTATGCGGTAGGTGAATTTCATGGGTGCATGCTGTAAATCATTATTTTGGAAGAAAAATAATTGGAAATACATTTATATTATGGTTTAAGTGGGCCGTCAGTATATTGAAAATTAATTTTTTTGAGTCGAGTTTTTAAAAAGTTTCTGAAATTCTTCAGAACATTAACTCTCAAATGATTTTATAAATCTTTCGGAATTTCAAATGGTTATTTTTACCAATTGAACCGTCATCCTGGAGTACTTGTGTCACTTAAAGTGGCGGAGAAGTCTCTTTTAGAACGCGAAAGAAGTGCGCTTTGCAGTCATTTTTTTTTCGAAGGGAACGTAATTATTGCCGTAAACGAAGTTATCAGACAATAATGTAATATATTTAAAAATGATTTTTTTGTAGCAAAAAATAATGGAATTTTCCAATGTAGTAAAGAGTTTTCTGAAGCGGCTGTAGCCTGAACTCATGAAACGGTACCGGTGCTGGACGTCGGGCGATGCATCTCAAACAATCGAACCAAAAATGACCGAAAAACTTGGAAAATTCAAAAATTTATTCGTAAAACGGTTTTTCTAATAGATTCCGATTTCGGGTTTACTTCCAGAAAGAAACTTTGCAAACAACCATTCATATATGTAGATTCCCATAAGAAAAGGGGTTTCCGTGATTATTAAGACAAAAATTTGCCTTTGTACCAAATTTCATGTAAATTTAATGATAAATAAACATTTTTCGAAAAGAAAAATGGTTCCAGGTCCACTTGCCGTAAGAAAAAGTGCTGCCCATGTCAATTTTGGCAAAGACATACTTATGTACGAAATTTTATGAATATCGAACTATTCGAACATTCCAAAAAATCCTCTCTTATCGGACTCAGACGCTACAAACAAAGACACCTTTTAAGTTTCAAGTCTCTAGGATGGGTGTTCAATCATTCAGGACAAATATATGTATCCATGTACATACACGTTAGATGACCACGGACGACTGCTCGAGTAGCGATCGTTTTTGGCGATCTACGGAGCTCTACCCGATTAATTTTGAGTAACAACTTGAAATGATAAAAATTACAGAGTTTTTGGACTAAGAACAAGTTTACGCACAAATCGGCGGCTGAAAAATCATGACGAGCAGCGCATAAATCTCCTCTGCTACGAAAAATTGAACATAAAGATTAATGTGTTTCCTCTCGAGGAAAAATTGACAACATATTTTATTTTGGGGCGAAGAAATATCTTTACGTGAATGATTTCAACCGAAAAGTACGGTGCGCAAAATGCAAGGAATTTGATTACAGTTACAGCAAAAAGACAGTTAGGTAAGGGGGGAAGCATAATGATGTTGGGTTATTTCTACTGGCAGCGTATAGACTCTTTACTTTAAGTAAAAGAACCATTGAATGCTCTTGGGTTCAGGAAAAATATTGGGAAATTTTATGCCGTCGCCTATGGCATATTCTTCTATGGTGCTTCTGAACTGGTGTTATAGACAAGAATAATGAATCAAAGTATATATTGAAGTTGCTTGCGGAGAAGTTGGTAAGCTCCAGTGCTATGTACATATGTATATGGAAAAATCGAGTCAATCCTTAGATCTCAACCCGATTGAGTGGGGTGAAGGTTAGCAGCTTTTCCATTACGAAACGAGAAACAATCGGAGGGAAAAATGCAGAAATTATGTATGCAACTTCCTTGATCGTCTTGCTTCAGGTTATTACAGTTTATTTTGAGGAGAATCAATATGCGCGCACAGAACAGAGAAGAATACACTGGCTAATGTCATAACCGATTTAAAAAATTATTTAAAGCTTTAAGATGAGATTTAGGTGCACTCCATCGTCCAACTACTCAAAGAATTTGAAAATGTTTAAAGAAATTTGAAGCGACTGGATCGGTCACATCGCGGTATCTTTTGTTCGCTCCACCTCAAATACCGCTACTGTAAGTGATGGAGTGGCTGGAGACCCGAATATGTCTATTTCTCGACGCTATCAAGAGCTGGGACTTTCTTACTGCACATAATGGAGTATTCTCCACTTGGACTTACATCTCCAACCATATAAAGTCCGGCTCACAGAACAACTGTTGGCTACTTGAACAACAAACAGCGAACGGCGATTTTTCGAACAAAATTTTGTTCAGTGTCGAGGCATAATTTTCATTCGGAGGATACGTAAAAAACAAGAATTGTCATATTTGGGGCTCCGAGAATCCTCAAATAATTGAAGGGCCATTACACCCAAAAAAAAAAACTTACTGTACGGTTCGCACTTTGGCCCCGAGGTGTGATTAGATCTTACTTCCAAACCAACCCGTTTTTTTTTTTTTGACCTGCAATTGAAGCACACGACTTGGCCTATATGTGGTCTCCACAAGATGATGCCACAGGTCACACAACACGGGCAAATATGGGTTTATTGCGAGAGAAATTTGTCCCGGCTACGTAACCTCTCGTCTCGGCGACGTCAATTGGCCACTGAGATCGTGTGACTTGACACCGTTAGATGTTTTATAAGGCTACGCGAGAGATTGTGTCTATGTGAATGAATCTTTAACTATTCAATACTTGAAAATCAACAATCTTCAAGTATTACTGAGATGCTGCCCAATATCTGCCCAAAAATTGGTTGGAAATTAAATCAAACGGAACGAAGTAGAACGATGAAGTGTTTTACATACAGTGCCGAAGTTCAGACAATCTAAAATATATTATATAATATTATATTTTATATTAATAAAAACACAAGTTTTGAAAAAAAATAATTTATGAAAAAAAAATTTATGAAAAAAATGAATTTTATAAAAAAAAAAAAAATTTATAAAAAAAAAATTAATTTTATGAAAAAAAATTTATTTTAAATGCATTTTATTTACGTTTTTTTCGAAACCACAAAATGGATAACCCTTTACTATTTCCGATAATAGTTCTGAAATATTACAATTATAGCTCCCCGACTTTTTGGTATCATATTTTTAATTAAAAAAAATATATATATATGTATATTTTTGCTCATCAATTTTGTGCTCGGCCGAGTTTCAGGTATTTTAGTAATGTAAAACTAATGTTTTCCGAAAATTAATTTTTAATTTAATTTATTTGTATTTTTATATTAAATGTAATTAAAATTAAATAATTGAAATTAAATTTAATCAATTTAAAAAAAATACGCAAGAAACATACTGACATCATTAGTGATTTTCTGTCAAAAAAAAAATAAATAAAATTTGCTCATACACGTATGCTAACTACATAATCTTAACAGCTCACTTGACTTCAATCACCACACGCAGTGCAGCAATATTTCCATTACAAAAACACTATTGACTGCTTAGTTTTTGCAAACAATGCCTTGGTTAAGCGTAAACAATACCAAAATGAGATTATGCGCATATGTATGTATGTGTGTGTATCTGTGTATATGTGTATATGAGCCATACTAATAGATATAATAACTCACCCTCTTCCAATTGTAACAATAGCCAACATCCATTAGCGTAAAATCGTTTGGCAACACCTCATCCTCATAAATCACTTCCACCTCGATACGCTTACTCTCGGGGTCAATGTCGAATTTAGAGCAGAGAAAACGTTTTAAGTGCCGTATCTTCAAACAAGCTGGACATTGTAGATAACGAACTGGCGGTATTTGACTCGTGCTATAGCCCTTCAGCAAAGCGGGATGATATTCCAATGACAAACTAATGACCGGAAAGTGAAAGAAAGAAACAATTGATGGGAAGGAAATTAGTACAAGAAATAGTTACAAACATATAAAAATAAGAAAAAAGAAAATAGAAGAAACTAATTTCGGAGGAAATTATAGAGCAACTTCAAGTCAATTGCAAAAGTGTATCTCCGTAGAAATTCTTTTCTAGGCATTGCGAAATTTATTAATATTGACGTTTCTTACCTAATTGGCTCAGCAGGCTCGAAAAAATGTTCATCAACTGTTTCCTGCTCTCGCTCATTGCACACTTCCTCAGCATCTTCCTCCACTTCACTCGACTGTTGTCCATTACGTCGCTGTGCGACTTTGTATTGTAGTGCACGTTCGTGTTCCTTTTGATATAGACCGGGCACCAATTTGAAAATCAATGCACGCAATACATCATCGGATCTATGGAAAAGTGTAGAAATAACGCGGAAGAAAAGGGAATATGTAATTCAGGTTGAGCTTAAGACAATATTGTGATTATGAAAAATAAAAATCTTTGATAAATATTCTTTTTTAGTGAAATATAAAGATCTGCAGTGATTCTTATAGTTTTTTTTTTACTTACTTCAAGTTGCTCACATTTATTTGCTTGCCACCACCGGCTGCTTTGCACAGTGGACAATAAGTGTCTTGGTGTAGATGTTGCACAATGCAACTGCGACAATCTGAAAAATGAAATAAAGCAATCATATAACATTTATATATATATAATTGGCGCTTTGTAACCGCTGAAGCGATTTTTTTGGCGAGCTCCTACTCCAATTTATGGTTTTGGGTCTTGATGTTTTTCCAACAAATGGTTCAGTTCATACAAAGCCGCCTCCGAACGGCTGATGGTTTTTTACGAGGAGCCTAAATTTCATGTACGAAATGCACTCGAAGGGGTGGACAATCCTTGCCGAAAGGCGACCGCAATTAGAAAATTTAACTTAGTTTTTTTTTTATTTAAATTAACTTTCCATAACTTTAGGATGTTGGTGGAACCGGGATATGAACCAGAGTCTTCCGAATGACAGTACGCAATGCTAACCGCTCGGCTACCGCGGAAGCCAATTAAGGTTTTCCAATAAGAGGTAGTAAAAACTATGCCAGTAATAAAAATAAACGATACACACTTCAACAACACATTGCAATTATTAAAATTCACTATAAAAATTTCTTCATAAAATCATCTCAACTAATGAGGCCCATTTCCACCTCAATAGCTATGTCAACAAGCAAAACTGTCATATCTGGAGCTCTACAAAATCCCAAGATTTATGCCCGAAAATTCTTTTAATAAATTTTTATCAAACTTTTTTATATTTTTTTATTACACTTCTTTATTATATATATTTTGTTTAAAATACACATAGTTGCATTGTTTTTTATTTTATCTTTTTATTTTTATTATTTTATTTCCCTAATAACATTTTGTTTTATTTTTTCTATAATTTTTAATTATATTTTATTTAATTTTTTTACATTTTTTTGTTTGGCTTTTTATTTTTTAAATATTAATTATATTTTTTATTTATTTATATTATATAATGTATTATTTTATTTTGTATTATAAAATATAATTTTATTTTATTTTATTTTTTTTTTTTTTGTGTAATTTAAAATTTAAAATAAATTTTTTTCTTTAATTTTATGTTATTTAAGTCTACATTATTTTTTTTTCTTTACTTTATTATTATTTTATTTTTTTATGTGTTTTATTTTGTTTCATTGAAAAATTTTATTTTATTTTTCTTATTTTATTTCTTCATTTTACATTTTTATTATATTTTTTACTTCTATTTTGCATTTGACTTTTTATTTTATTTTTTATTTTATCTTATTTTATGCTTTTTATTTTACATTATTATTTTTTTTATTTTTCTTTAATTATGTCTTATATTTTTTTTCATTGATGAATTTTATACTATTTTATTTTTTATTTTACTTTTTTATTATAAATTTTTATTTTATTTTTTTATTATGTTCTTTTATTATATTTCTTATATTCTTTTCATTATATTATTTTTTATTATGTCTTTTATTTAATTTTTTATTTTATCATTTTGTTTTATATTATTTTATTTTTTATTCAACTTTTTATTTAATTTTTTATTTAATACAATATTTTATTTCTCTTACTTTATCTTATTTGATGTTTCTCACCTTATTTTATTTTCTTTTATATTTTTTTCTTCCTTTTTTATTTTAATTTATTTCTTTTTTTTATTTTATTTTATTCTTTTTTCGTTTTTTTTTTTTTTGATTTTATTTTTTTTTTCATTTAATTATCTTTTTTTCATTTTATTTTTTTTTTTCATTTTATTTTTTTTTTCGTTTTTTTTTTTCATTTTATTTTTTTTTTCATTTAATTTTTTTTTTATTTTATTTTTTTTTTCATTATATTTTATTTTTTTTTATTTATTTTAATTTTTATTATTTTAATTTTTTTCTTACTTTATTTAATTTAATTTATTTTATTTCTTTTTATTTTTTATTTTATTTTTTTCTTTATTTTATTCTTATGTTTTTTTATTCATTTTTAAATTTTTCTTATAATTTTTTATTTATATTTATATTATTTTACTTAATTTTTTTCATTTTATTTTATTTTATTTTTTATAAATTTTTTTAAATATTTTTTATAAAGCAATCACTTCTAGTAGTCCCAAAAACAATTTTTTCTTTCAATATTTCTTAAGTTATACATTTAATCAGAAGTACTTACATGTATGCAAACAATTATCTACTGTTGTTGGATTTATCAAATAACCACCGCATATATGACAGCTTAAAAACTCATTAAATTCGCGCACTTTTAGAGTTTTTGTTGGTGTTTGTAGTTTCATTTTGAATATTTTATTTAAAAATATATTTCATGAGTTCAAAAGGTATTCTTCTTTTTTATTTTATTTGTTCTTTTATATATATATTTTTAATTATATTATATAATCTTCACTTTGGTAGCCTCTTCCAGTATTTATCTAGAAAATAGAAGAAAAGTGTTGGAGTTTAGTATAAAGTATACAGTTACAATTTAACGTTTATAAATAAACATAAAAAAATTCAAAATTTTGGCAAAATTTATTATGCATCCCGTGAGTCCGAAATTAACTCTTTTGTGGGCAAGTCCTTTGCTAAATGCGATCGTTATCCATATTCTTTTCTGTTTCAAACATATGAAAATAAAATTTTATTCATTTTATCACCACGCAAACTCTTAAGTGATTTATTAAAACTGATTTTATTATACCCTTGTATATCAAAGACTTATATACACATTTACATACATATGTACATATATCTGCATAAACTTATCGACTTATTTACATTATTGAGTCCACAATGATTATTATGAATCCATTATAAAAATGTAAACAATTCAAAGATTTTCATTGGAATAATTGGTTCTTCCATTCTTTGCTCAAGTGCACTTTTTTTCCATTCCCACTCTATTGTGGGAATCCCCTTGAAGGCTCGTATTTGTGTATTTCATGTTGTGCTTTGGGGAATTCGTGGCATGAATGCGCGCTGCTTCGTTTCATGTTTGCCGTCTCTCAGTGAGATTGCCCCTTTATTGTGGCTACTTGTGTTGGAGCGACGACTATGCCAAGCAATTGTTGGATGAACGAACGGACGGCCTTCTGCGAATCTACGTCAAGTGGACGCCAGACGGACATTATTATTATGGACGTGGCGATTTAGGAAATGGGCGATGAGTTGGTTTGTTGATGGACGACCGCTTTGCAACAATTCGAATTTGTCCAAACTTTTTGTTGCTGTTATTACCAACATTAACACATACATATGTATGTACGTACATACGTAGAAATGGTAGCGGTAAAGTCGCGCTCACCGCTTCAAGCAAATTCTAAACTTTTCAACAAGACTGCAGCAACAAATCATAGAATTGAAATGACAACAATGTTAGCGAATGACAGACAACAAAGCAGTGGAGAAACAAAAGGCGAAAAAAGTCAAGGGAAAGCGTCTAGAGCGAAGAAAAGAAATACACCGTGAAGTAACAACTGCGTCAAGTCAGTCAGTCATACAGACAACGCGCCGCTGCGTCAATGTGACCGTCTCGGCAAGCTACAGTGACGATTTTTATGGCAACTTGCTGATGGAGACTGACTGACTGACAATGCAGCGCAACACTAAGTGACTACTTGTAGCCACGCTCGACTGGCTTACCGGCTCACTGGTATACATACATATAAACATATATATATATATGTAGGTTGGTTACAGCTAGGCTAGCACATTGACCGATGCGATGCGATGCGATGCGACGCGACGTCTCTAACTACATAAATAAGCTAAGCATGCTCGGTGAAAACAAAAGCCATTGTGACGAAAGACGAGCCAAAAACACACATACACACAATCATACATACTGCATAGATATTCACATACTGAATATCTGTAAGTAAGCTTTTGAGAAGCGTACACTTGCACCGTTGGAAGGCAAACGCAAAACGCTGAGAGACAATAAAAACCGCCAAAGAAAGAAGCGGTGTAAAAGAAGAAGCAAGAAGAAGTAGAAGAAAAATGAATTGAAATTCGTTATTTACCATAAAAAAAAAAAAAAAACAAAAAAAAATAATAAAAAATAGTGACTTTAAGCAGCTCCAGTAGTGAAAAATGGTGAAAAAAAGGTGTGGAGTTTGAAAAATTGCTGATTTGCCAATTTCGCTTTTGAAATCTCTCTCTCATTTGCAAGTTGTGCCAACAAAAAGCGGCAGCGGGGAACTCTTACCAAATAAGTCTCTACTAAAAAATCACAGCTTCATCTGCTGGAGTTCGCCCCGCACCGTGCAAGCGCAGAAGAACTCATCGAACTCATTAGTTGTTAATTAGTTAATTGATTAATGAGACTGAATTAATCCGTCCTGTGCCATGTAATTGATATTGATTATCATAATTTCACGTTTCACTTTTCGCGGCGCAATGAATATATGTGTGTACATATATAGTATGGTACTGATGAGAGATCAAACATCATAAGTCATTGGTAGTTGTAGTTGTAGTGAAGTGAGCTGAAGTTGGCATAATTGTTGTATTTAGATTACAAAATACTTATATATTTAAAAGTTAGACCAAATCAGTCCTCACTTCCAGCAGCGCGTACACCTTGGCATACTTTTGAAACTGGAATTTTCTCATCTTTCCGCACTAAACACCCAGCCAGTGTAGCCGATGTTTCTTATATCGATGAGCTTCCATCGTCTGCGATATCCTTGAATCCTCTATCTCAAGAACTCCACACCTGCCAAAGATCACGCTTGGTTCCTTCGTTCCACGACAAACACAGAAATATTTGAACTCAATTGACACATTCTTCTTTTTTCTAATTGGCGTAGTCCCCACAGAAGTGTTTTTAAACGGATCGCTTCTTCTTCTTTTCTCAGTTCGGCGCCAATAGCAGACAGCATTAGAAGAGATTTTTTTTAAATGGAATACTTTGAGATGTGGAGATGTGGAATGTCCTCAAATAACCGAATGAGGGTCCAGCTAGTGTAGTCGCTGTCTCTTAATTTTATGAACTACAAATGTTATTGCCGCTATCATTCCATCTTCTGCTATATACGAAAAAACTTTCTCTCGAAAACTTGTAATGTCGACTGTTTTGACCTTCCGCAGGAGGAGAATGGTGAGCAAATTGCCAAATTTGCTTTTTGTGTGTCGAGAAGAGGCTTTACTTTTCAAATGTCCACTCAGTCCGAAATAGCAACTCTTTGCAAATGTGATTCAGCGTTGGATTGCAAGACTGGCTTTGCCTTGACTGTCAACAGTGACTCGAACGGGTTGTCTTTTCACCGAGACCCATTCATTTCGTGCTCTTTCCTACTTGTAAGAGGCTCCCGCTTGTACCTAAGTGCTTGAAGAGGTTCCTTCTCAATTCCGACGGAGCTTATGGGGCTGTCTAGAATCAATATAAACAGCAATTACGTTTAACGGACTGTCATAGCCACGTAAAGGTAGCTTATTTTCCTTTGATGTTGTTGTTGTTTTAGCCGCAAAAATATTCCCCAAAGTAGCTTTTATGGAATGTTGCGGAAGTGTTAGTCCTTGGCTGGATAAAATCAGGGTCGTTCCGGTATGAAGACCATACCGTACGGGAACTTTAGTCGGACTTTAATCGCCCCTTACGATAGGCATTCCTTACTGCGGGAAACCCCACTGCGCAGGGATGCTTTCGAGGTCTGTTTTTTGAAAGGCCCTTTTCCAGACCTCAGTAGATATCTGGTCGGCCACTAATCTATCAGCTCACGCAGGTTTATTATTCTTCAAGCAGGCAATCGATATTCGAGCTCCAGCATAATCGATTGAGAGTTCGATTTCATCATCTCCCGGGGTTGTACGTTCGCTACCACTCGGCGGAACTATCCAAAGCAGCTTTAGCTCTTCTCCTGCAATGGTTGGTAGTTTGACTCCGAGCACTCCATTCACAGGAAGACAGTCCAGGAAAGTGATGAACTCCTGGTGACTGCCGTTTAATTCCTGTCGGTAAGCCGTCCAGTCCAGCGGATGCTGTTGTTGGTGGTTCTGAATGCAGCCCTTGAAGTCGTAATTCGGCAACTCGTGAGTATATATTGCGGTGCTCTCTATGGTAGCATTCCAGCAGAACGTCTTGCACATCAAAGCATGCTGCATGTGTTACTCTTGCGACATAAGGAAGTTTCTTATTACGGTCCTAAAACGGTATTTAGCAGGCATGTACCTCCTTCATCTGCGTCTCGCTAGACCCTGGCGTCCAGATCGGAGCAGCATCGTTTACGACCGGCCGGTCAATTGCCATGTATGTTGTTAGAAACGTTTCTTTGTCTTTTCACCAGGTGCTGACAGCTAGTGCTTTGAGATTTTGTGGTGGTTCTGGAGTTTAGTGCTAGCCGTGACTTCCAGTAACCTCGGGTTGTTAAAAGTCAGATCTTTTACGAAATCGACTTTCACATCAAGTTCGAGCCGGTACTTCTTCTTCCAGAGTGTAGTCGAGAATTCCGCTACAACTATCCAGTTGCTGATGAATATTCTGAAAAAGCATGTTCTATGCAAGTCGCATAAAAAAATGTTTGGATGTCTGTTGTGACAAAATAGTGGCCGAAGTCGATATTAAGATCTTGAGAAGCATGCATATGTAAAACACTGGATACATGACGTCCGTCTATCAATACATGATCAATTTTTGACGAGTTCTTCAAACCCTAGATAGCCATGCCGCTGGATGCATTCTTCTATGCAGGAATTTGGTAGTAAAAACGAGCCCCAGCTCATTTGGGTGTGTTTATTCATGGAGGCTGAATTTTCCGACAGTTATGCTGAAGATACCTTCTTCGCTCACACTGGCCTAATAGAAATTATCTTTGGACGCATTATTATTCGGTTTAATGTGGATTCTGGCAAGACGGTCTTCAACCGGGTGAACGATACCACTCCACTTAATACATTTTTAAACTTTTACTTAAATGAAATAAATCTTTAATTTTCGAAATTAAATCTTTAAAAAGCCAAACTGAATTGTTGAGAAAATCTTTCTTAATATTCTTCGCACTGAAACACATACGAAGTCTAGATATAACGATCGTCTCAGTCATGGCGATCTTCGCCTTCAAACTGCGCTCAGAGCGATGATGAATGACGAATTGCTTAAGGATTGGGAAGTAACTTGATCAAACCTTGGATAACCTCAAAGTTCGTTGTTTTGAATATTTCTTGCACCGAATAAGAAACGTGACAAAAAAAATCAAAAATCTAGTGGCGTTCGGGCATTCATGATTTTAAAAAACATTTCAAGACAGACTTCCAAACTTTTATCGTCAGATCTCGACTACATGCATATGTATGAACTGTAAATTTAACCAAAACGAGTGTTAACTGTATATATGTATATGTATATTTATGTACTATTTATGTAACAATCGAACAGATAAAAAGTGGAGAAAACCAGAAAAGTTGAATTTTAATTGCGGAAAAGGTGTTTGAAATGTAATAAAAATAATTGTCAGCTTTTCAAAACGATTTTTTTTTTTTTTTTTTCAAAGTGAAACCAAAATAAATTATATTAGAAAGAGAGAAACAATCATTGGTCTGCGTGAAAACGCTAATGGATTAGCGCTAAGAGCGACTGATCGTCAACAGATCGTAAAAACACACAACACCGACAAATAAATTATCGAATGAGCGCACAAATTTAGGCATCCATAAATGTGCGTATATATGTATGTATGGATATGATTGGATAAAATGCGGGCGCGGCCGCGGACGCGGACGCACAAACAAATGAGCGTCAATTAGATGAAGTGTTTGACGGCAAATAGGCACACAATAATCAAAATAATACAAACAACAACATCAAATTACAAAAGGTAGATAATGAAATTCATACACATTTGTATGTATATGTACATATGTATGCACGAATATCAATTGGCGGCCTAAACAGTATTATTTTCAAAACAATATCTTTTCTGGTTTTCTTCTACTCCTCAAGCATACATCACCATGTACATTTACGTCTATGTATGTATGCATGCATGTATGTAGAAATATGTTTGTCTCTATATTTTTGAATATTAGGTGCGTGTGTTTGATTGATTTCAATGTCGTTTGCCGCTGCCTTTGGGTTATTAATTTGTATTCGTTTTTGGTCTTGTTTTTTGTAATTTTTATTGTTGTTGCTGTTGACTTTTGGTTTAGACGCACATTTGGTAATACATATACAAACACTCGCACGCACGCACGCATCAATGAGCTCACACTGAGATACCGACCAATGCGTATATATACATACATGTATATGTGTGTACATATAGATACACATAAATAAAATAGATAGATACATATACATTGTATTTCATACAAACTCACGCTCAGCTGTTTTCTCACCTCCGCTTTGACCGCACAAACGTACATCGTAACCAAACTGAAGTACAAGCGAGTCAAAACAATGAGAGCGTGAGGATTTGGAAAACAACAAAGAAAAGACAAAAGTGAATAAAAATTTAATAAAACGTAAGAATGTACATTTTATGTACATATGTATGTATGTATATAAAAAGCAGCGCATAAAATGCTGCTACTTCCTGCTACTTTACTTCCTATTCTCTAATTCTTTCGCTTTGCTATGTGTTCTTCCGCCCGCCAACCACCTACACACGCACACAAACATTAAACACTTCCGTACGTTAATAGCCGAACGCCCCCCCGCACTCCTCACAATCAGTCACACAGAGATACACACATACACACGCAGAAACAATTTAGGGCGGCTGATTGTGTTCGGCTTTCCAATGCTTTTCTTGCCTATGGCGACAACGGCGGCGACGGCGGGGGTGGTGGTTGGATGCGGGCGCTCACCGATATTTGCACTAATTTGCAATGGCAATGTGTTGTTGTTATTATTATTGTTGTTCTATCACTCACTTCAGTATGTTGTTGTCACAGACACAAACTCAAAGCATGCACTTCGTGTAAATCAACGTATGTGTGTGTTGTTGATTTTTTTTTTGTTTGTTATTTTTGTTCACCCGCGTATTTGCCCGCTACAGTGTGGCAATTGCTTTTTGGGGCACAAAATATTCCATACGCGCGTGTAAAATTCTAACTTGCCGCTCGATATAACTGCTACAGCAGCCATCAAATTCGAAACTAGCGTACGACGGTATAACGAAAATGCCACCGACCACACAATCGCTCTGTAATAAAGTTGGCGCTGTCGCTGGCAGCTCGTGCGCCCGCTTGTTCGCTCCGTCGTGCTCACTCACGCGCGCGCGCACTTGTACGCACACTGTTTTCGTACTCACTCTCACTACGTGTACGAAGCGTCAGCGATAGCGCCATCCCCACCACCATCATCATCATCGTTATCTCAGCCACTGCTTGCTTGCCAAGCTTCTACTACTGTGCGCGCCAGCCCCAACACACACACATACACACCATCACTTGCCTCTTTGCAATTGTACACTTTGCGCTCAGCAGTGAATCGCGTTAAAGAGCAACGCGCACTAGCTAAGGGCAACCCACCACCACTATCAGCCTAGTGCCTAGCCAAAAATATCTACGCTGAAACGTTCGTTCAGCGCATCAACTATGTATCTGTTTTCAGCGTTTATATCTATTCGCTCGCTTTTTTCGTTTTACTCGCAGATACACACATTCGAAATAGAAATAAAGTTCGTGTAAGGCCGAATGCTTTAACGCTGCGACGTTGAACTTTCTACGCTTCAGCATCGTCGTTAACTCTGCCGCTGCCGATGCCGCGGCTAGCACGCTTTGGAGTTTTCAATTCGCTCTTCTCGCCCACTTTGCGCCCAATTCTTTTGCCGAATTCGCCGTAGCACGTTTTTTATGAACCAAATACGTATGTATATACATACATATGTTGCAGTAGTGGTAGCAATTGCCGTATTTGTTGTTTATGTTGGCGATATTTTTGTCGAAATTCCAATGCGAGCGCGTAGTGAACGCTTTAAGTGCGCCGGGAAAAATAGTACGAAATAAATAACAAATTGCGCGTCGCGTGTACTTTGTTTCGTTTATTGTTGCTCTTGATGGTCATACACACATGAGGTGCCTTATCACATATTCATTTCTCTTAGTGCATACATATTTACACACGTATGTATATTTGTGAATAGGTGCATAACAATGTGTGCGTGTCAAGTGTTTCGGACGCGTCCTCTGCTCAGGCATTTACTCTTCACTTGACCGCTGCTCTAACTGCTGCTCAATCACATATGGTATTACTTAAAAACACAAACAGAAACACATATTTTTTAACACTAACATACATCCTCACATATGTATATCTTTATCTACATATTATATATACATATGTACATATGTAGATATGTTTTTTACAGATATTCACAACAGAGCGCCGATTTCGTAAAGTGAAAATTTTCACTAAGAAATTTTACAACCCCGCGAACATACACACTCACATAATTATACATAGATAAACACAGCAGCAAAAATGGTTTTTGGCATTCTAAATATTTGTACATACAAACTCAATAATTTTAAACAAAAAACAATTTTTAAACCGAAAAATGTATTGCGTTTGTTATCCTGCCATAAACACAAAACCGGCAAAATATTTATATATTAAACAAGCAAAATAAAAATAAAAAAAACATTTTAGACATATACTAACATTTCTATTGATTTTTAACAACAATTCACGAACCGCTCGCTGCCGTCTCCACTCGCTGCTCTCATACCACCCATTCAGCGTGTATCGGCCCACTTTGCGCACATTGCACTAAGCCCGCTAGCTTTCCTTTAGCTCCCTTCACACTTTACTTTTGGTGTTGTTTTTTTTTTGTTTTGTTATTTTTCTTCTTACTCTTCTTCGCCTCTTTGTGTTCGTTTTTCGATTTCTTTATTTACTTTTGTTTGTTTTGCCTTTACACTACTATTCTATTTTGTGCACTTGTTGTTTTTGTTTTCCTTATCGATTTCTCGAATGCCTCTGCATTAGCAGCAACAACAACAGTTCGCCACTGACACTGTCCGCTTTTTATTGTTCCGAGTTTCTTACTTTCTGCTTTCCTTTAGCATTCACTACACTTCACTTTTCCTAAAGCGAAATTTATTTCACACAATAAGTTGGTTAAAATTTGTGTTCAGTTTCGCCAACTGTTTTATCCGGTATCAGTCGCTCAACACGAACTAGACAACTCGAACGCCAACAAAATACTGTTACAGCAATGGTGGAGCAGCAATCGGTAAGCAGCACACATATGTATACAAAAACGCATTTTATTCGTTTGTGCGCTCTCTCGTTCTCATTGGATTCTTCGGCTCGGTTGGATGTTAACGTATGTATGTGCATATGTACTTCGCCCCAACCACTTACCTAGTCAACTCAAAGATTATCTACTGTGGGCTTACGAGGCGATTTTTATGAAAATATTTAAATGATTGGAGTCTAATATATATAATATACAGAAGTATATGTACATACACCACTAATTTTGGGATTATATAAGATGCCTATATCAAATTGCGACCTCTTATATAATTTCATTTTACGAGTTAAAATAATCTATTAGCAAAATATATATATATATAATATATATTAATATATTTTATTATTAATATATTATATCATGTTCCTTACGACTTCTGTAAATTATAATACAATACCTTCTCTCCTACTGACGAATTAATTTCATTATTTATTTAGTTTCTCCATATTTTGAATAAAAATAATAGCTTATACACTTTAACTCAGAAATTGTTCTTTGGCTGTGGTAGAGGATTTTAAAAATTAATAAGGTGGGGTGATTTTTTTAATTTAATTATATATGAACAAAACACATAGAAATATAGAAATTTAGTTTTAGCACGAATTTAAAAAGTTCCTTAATAAATCTGAAGATAAATAATACCTACCGACCCAAATATTATTTTTTTTTTTGCTATTTCTGTCTAATTTCTTATAATTCTTATATTTTTTTTTCTATGTATTATTTCATTACTATTTGTTTTTTTCGAATATATAAGAGAAAACTTGCAAGTAATAGAATAGTTTTTTAAAAGTGTATTCGATATTTTTCGTTAAGTATACGATTCTTATAAGGTCAGAACGCCTTCTAACTACTCAATATGTCCTATCGGCTTATACAACTTTCATTCCACTCGTACTTTGAAGGCATGCGTTAAGCAAATAAGGTTTTCAAAAAAAATTAAGGCTTAACAGAAGAAGAAAACAATGCTCATGGGACTTCGTACAAAATCTTATTAATAATAATTAATAATAATAAAATTTAATACTCTTTATAGGTTTCCGAATATTCAAAAAGCTAATACCAATTCATTTGATTGTTAGGTATACATTCCAATCGAAACTTGTAAAGGCCTTATTCCAATTTCCATACCATAAAACATTCATTTTCATATTAGCTACATATACATATATATATAATATATTTTGGTTCCTCTAAATTTTATTTAAATTTTTCTGTCACTAAGTACGTAACAAAATCTTACATTTTTTACTAACACTAATCCAAAATAAATAAGTAAGTCATTTAAAATAATTTATTTTTACAATCCTATTCCATTCTTTATATCAGTGACACTTCAAGTTATTGGGTTATAGTTAAAGACCATTGAATTTGATTGTTGTTCAAGAAGTTTATCTCCTGTAAAATATTTTCCAGAAATATCATATTGAGAACATTTATTTTTAAATTAAATTAGGAAAACATTTCATTTCTATAAAAAATTTTTCTGATATTATTTTATTTTAAGTGAAACAGAATAATCACTGTTAAATGTTTTAAGTGCGGTGAAGGCGTGGTTTCTTTGTATGAAATTAATATAACTGTTATACAACAAAGAAAAATTGTAGAAGTGAAAGCTGTTTCGGAGATCACCATCCTCATCAAACTTCTTATGGCAGGGATCGCACCAAGGCCAGCGGACTTTACAGGTGAATGTTCCACCACTGTGCCATCATCTGAAATATAATCTGTTGTTGAATTATTCAATTAATTATTGTCCAACAACTATTAAATGATCTAATTTAGGCGCTATTTTCTTAATAGTTTGGTTGGTGAGTTGTTTTGAAATCCTGTATGCTTTCAAGCGTTAATTGGCTGAAAAATTTATAAGCAGGATTAAGTTTCAGTTTCAACTTATATATTCACAATTGCAATATTTTCGATATCTTCTTTCGCCCAATATGCTGATTTTTTATCAGGTAGACTTGTTCGCCATACCATGTTTCGTACGAATTCTAAAGTTGAAACAAAAAATAATAATGTTTGAACTTAAAAACCATTTCTGTTTAAAATAAGCAAGGGAAGTTCCGGAATAATTAAGCGCAGTGACATTCTATGTTGCGAAACATCTAGAATATTTTAATTTTTACAAGAATATTTCGTTAACCAACTCACTGTGCTCCATGATTTTTCTCGGCTATAGACTTTTGCGCAGATAAAATTAATCCGAATCCAAGTACGATGTATAAACGAAATGCTCCACACCACCAAAAAACCGGCCAACACATACTCATTAAGTATGCACATGGAATAAACACACTCGCCCATATAATGCAATATCTCACAAACAAGCGCGCAACTCTCCCTCTCTCATTGCAAGCAACCAACACTAAGCAAAACTGTATAAAAAAAGTAATAATAACTACCAGTCTTTCCATCGTCTTTAATATCGCTTTCATTCGTTTCAACGTTCGTCTTTAGCTACTGCATGTCCCATCCCCACAACTTCCATCTTTTGTATGCGCGCGAATGCAACAGCAACGAACCATTCGCCTCCGTGCGAAAGAAATGGCAACAACTATTGCCGCTGTGGCCGCGCCCACCCTTCGGCAAGCGAACAGCTTGATTGGCCACTTGTAATAAACATCGTGCCGCTATAAACTTTTCGGCTACAAAACCGATGGCTGACGAAGTGTCCAACTTCATTTTGGTCTGCGTCGTAGTGGTGCAGTCACAAGTAGAACAGCGCTGTGGCTATGGCAGGTAGTAAACAGCAGGCGGAACTCTAACAAAACTCAATTCCAACAAAGTAAGCAAGTAAGCGATGTGTGTATTGCATGCTATTGTTTCTGGCCGGGTTATTCAATATTCAGTGTAGTTTGGTGTGTGTGCGTGTGCGTATGCGAATGAGAGGAGCTGACAGTAGGTGGGGGACGTGCCAGCCCATTGTATTGTATGTGCGCGAGAGTAGTGGGTGATGGTTGGCTCTTGCAACGACGTGTTTTATCGACAAATATCGGCGCTGTTTTGCTTTCGGTTGTATTGTAGATTGCTGTTTTCACATTTTCAGTATTCAGTTGCCAGCGGCACGATTTCGATTGTGTGCGGTTAAGCAATTTTGCGTTGATTGCGGTGTATATACATGTCTATGTATGTTTTAGGGTTCTGAGTACATTCAAAGGCAATTTTTCTACCCAAAAGTTATTTAAGATAAAAGATTTCGTAACGTACAATTACGACAATGAATTTCTGAAGCTGTGGCGTTAGGCTTTCTTGTAAATCTTCTAAGTTATCGATACAGAAATGCATTTATAAAAGAACCACTTACGTCGCTTGCTTAAATTCTCATTTACTTTCCTTAGATGTGCCTTGACTTTTGTGGATTCAATATAATGACTGTAAGTATTGAGTTTAGGTTTTAGTGACATCCGTCAGACTAATCCTAGGTACCAACATACGTTGGAGATAATATGCCATTAAACGACGGCTGACATACCAAACGCGCATACTCCTATGTATCTAAGTACCTTTGTATGTATGTATGAACATGATAAAAATCGACATTTTGGTTTTTCAGGAATTTAGTAGCTAACTTTTGTCATGGCATGAGGTACCTCAGTAGGTAAGTATGTCTGTAACCGGAAGAAATGTAGACAATTAGCGCTGAATGCGCCATTTTTATGCACTGCCGTGAAAACTGCTCTCACATTTCATCGTTACGTACTAACCATTTGCTCCTTCCTATGAAACTTTCTGTGGACAGCTATTCAAAGCCTGGATTATGTTGGACTCCAAGTGTTCTATGACGAATATGTGAAAGAATTGGACAACGGCTGTTGAAAGGAAGATCCATTTGTGTTGCGCGCTCTCTGTAATGTAATTGCCCCGTTGCCCTATTGCTCCGTTCTACACCAGTATAATAGATCCTTTGCTTTTGTCCTGTCATACTTGAACTGAATATTCTGCACTATCGTACTATATCGTTGGATATAGATGTCTAGCCGTTCTGTGCTCCCTCCTGATCGTGTTTGACGGGCTTGGTATGAATTCCACTTCAAATTCGTCAATAGATAATCTAGACTTGGCGCGACTCTCAACTTTTTCGTTACCGAAAATTGTTGCCAACGCTTGAATTGATCGTTAACGATAATGAGGTCATCACTTTCACCATGATTGCCGAGAAGATAACAGCTTTTCTTACTTTATCCTTCCATTATTGTTCAATAGAGCTGTACTGGGACCTTTCTATACCTAGTAATTCTCTGCTTGGAAGAGATTTTCAAATATTCAGAGATTAATCCTTCCTCTACATTCTAGTCTGTTTTGGATCCACGTTTAGAGGGTATCCTCACCTTGAAGTAGCCAATCAAATATAATCTCGGTAGTATATAGTCTTTAATTCATCTTTCTATGAGTGGATTTAGTATGTGGCTATGTCCAAATGGCTTTTATTACAAAAACCTCACTCCCTAAGTGTGATAGCAGACCTACTTACCGAACCATGTCTCCATTTGTTATAATTGCTCTGACGGCAGAATACTTTCACATAACAATTGTTGGTTTTAGGCCCTAGTTCTTGCTTCAAAATCTAAATAAATTGTCAGCTTAAGTTAAGCAAATCAAAAAAGTCTTTGCATTATTGAATTACAAATAACAATTGAAAGTTGTCTTTTTACTATCTCGAAGTAGAGGAAGATCACAAATCCGGTGGCAGGATCAGATGGAAAGCGATCTGGTTTCATTTGAGGATTGCCAACTGACGCTAAGCAGTGAATAGAAGGAACAAATGGCACGTTATCAAAGATTCGGCTATAATCACGTGAGCCGTGCCTACGCCAATGAAGAAGAGGAAGAAGTCAACTGTACCACCGGACTGAAAGAGGAATATATTGACAAAAGTTATGGCTCTTCATTGTAACGGTGAAATATTGGCAGCTTGCAGTGTACATAAATG